TATACATATGTATAACAAGGGGCAGGCTTGCTTTCTAATTACTGAGAGAGTTCAGCTGGTGTCTTGGCTTTCCATGCCTTTTTACACCTCCCTTTCTTCATGTGTTCAATACTTTTTCCCTGTGTCATTCCACATTATTACAAATAACTTCATTTCTGGACATTTATGGTTTGATTTCTTTGTATGTATGGATGACTTGGGTTGTCACTGACATCTGGTGAAAATTTCATGTCGTTAGCACCTCTAGTAATATATTTACTGAGAAAAATGTGTTCGATACTTATTTTACCAGCTGTATATACCATTCTGACTTCCTACTGGATTGAACTCACTCCATCACACCTGTTTGACACAAATCACATCACATTCCAGCTGGACAGACTGTGGCACAATGATTCCCAACCAGGAGTACAACCATCCCCTGTTACAGGGGGTACGTGGAAAAATTTCCCAGGTGCACAAAAAATAAGTAAAAATAGCAATGTGGAAATTATGGATTTGACACAAAATGGAACCCAGTATAAAAAGCAGAATCTTACAGAATTTGCTGGTCAGGTTTGAGTCCAGGTCTCATCTGGTCAGGTTTGAGTCCAGGTCTAAGGTCTGAGTCCAGGTCTCATCTGGTCAGTTTTAAGTCTGGGTCTCATCTGGTTAGGTTTGAGTCCAGGTCTCAAATTAGAGGAAGTGGGAAGTGATTTTACAGCTTCAGTAGCTGCTGTGTGTTGGTTTTCCAATCTCTGGTCCAGGTCAGTCCAGAGTGTTTTTTTTTTTCACATGTAAATTTCATAAACTTCATAATCTTCGTAAAGGGAAGGTATCAATATCAATTTACTTAAAAGTTTGTTCTGTTGACAAATCTAGCTACAAAATTGGACAAAATTATTGGTACCCCTTATTTAATAAAAGAAAAACCCAAAATGGTCACAAAAATAACTAGAATCTGATGAAAATAATAATCCAGGGAGGTTGGCTACATTCCCATGGATCTTAAATTTTTGAGTAATACACGCACCTATAGTCACAGGAACATCAAGCTGCTTGGAGATGGTCTTATAACCTTTACCTTTAACATGATTCTCTGTCTAATATCCTGAGACATGTCCTTCCTTTGCTTCCTCTGGTCCATGTTGAGTCTGGTCCACACCATGTCTCCAAACAGCACAGTGAGTATCTGTAGCCCTATATACAGGCCCACTCACTGAGTACAAGATTGTAGACACCTGTGGAGCTAATTARTGKACACACCTTGATTTAACATGTCTGCAATGTCTGACTTTCATTTGTTCATTTTCATAGAATTTTTATTTCTTATTACTTTTGTCAGATTCTATTTATTTCTATGACCTTTGTGAGTTTTTCTTTCATTAAACGAGGGGTACCAACACTTTTATCCATGTGTCTCTGACGATGTTTCATGAAAATACTTGTCACATAGTCATTGTGTGTTACCTGGGTGTGTTCCTTGTTGTAATCTGCGGCCGTGTTGTCCTGCGGAGCTGCAGTGCTGTAAGTGTGAGCTTGTGCTGCCTGGTATTGCTGGTACCACTGCTGCATGGCGTCCTGTGGTCCACAAACACACACACAYACACAYACATACACACACAGACACCAGCAAACATCAGGTGAACGGAGCAGACAGGTTGTGTGTTTGCTCAATAATACCGTAGTGATTTTTAAGTCTTCTTCCTCACGTTGTGCTCTTTCTTTGACATTCATTAACCATCGTCCCCGCCCCGTTTCTCAGCTTTGTCTCGATTTTCCAGCCAAATTCAACCAACCGTGTTTATTGGTTATCTAATCACGACTCATTCGTTTGAATGGGTAGATTGTAATTAACATTTAAAATTAGGTTTTCTCCTTGCTGCAAAATATCAGATATGTCARTCGCGGCTTGAGGAGGCAGAGCGACAAGTGGAGGGAGAGGAGGAAAAAAAACCAGAAGGCAAACAGCTCGTAGGAGGGCTGCGTGTTGTTTTTGAGTGGAGGGATGAGAAAGGAAAGGAGCAGGGACAGATGGAGACACACACAGTGCCTCGCTGCCAAATCCACTCTCGTTCCGAGTCCCAGTATCCAAACCCATTCTTATTTCTTCCAGCTCCCTGCCTCTCCCAGTTACAGCTCCCTGCCGCTGAACACAAACCTGYGTGTAGACAACTTATTGTCGTGTGTTTTTAAGCAAACCTGCAGTACCTGTGTGTACGCCTGGTTGTACTGGGTGAAGTCAGCGGAGGTGTCAGAGGTGTAYGGGGCGGGGGTCGTGGCCGCGGCGCTGTGGGGGAAAGGACCAGAACCCTGGGAGACCACCGGAGCAACTGGGCTGCCGTACACTCCGGTTCCAGGCTGTCCCCCCTGAGGCTTGTTCCCCACTGAGCCTGAGCGAAACACAGAGACAGTGTGTGTGTGTGTGTGTGTGTGTGTGTGTTTATGTTTGTGTGTGTGTGTGTTCAAATATAAAAGCTACGAAACCAGCAAAATAATCTACAGATCATTTACAACTGTGCAAAAGTTTTAAACCACCCATCTCCTCTCACTTTGATTCCAAGGAGCCAGACTTGACACATTTTCCATATTTTCTGGAGTGTAAGTCCCACTTTTTAATAGTTTGGCTGTTCCTGCGACTTAAACCTTTGTTCATTCGGACACGAACCAAGGAGTAAACATTACCGTCTGCAGACGTGAGAGGGCGCTCTAGGCTTGTGACAACTATACGTTGTTCCTGTACCAAGGAGCAGCAGAGAGAAAGTTTGGAGTGAATGAGAAACTTGTGAGAGAGTGATGAAGAGCAGAGGTWACTAGCTATGTTTACATGAGCAGAATTATTTGAAATGTACTCAGATTAATTAAGCCGAACGTATCGTTTACATGGGCACAAAATTAACTAATTAATGTAGGATTTTATTCACAATTGAAGTACTGACGTAACCCCCCTCCCCCCAGACAAAAAAAAACAGAAGTAGTTGTACTTCCATGACGAACATAAACAAATGTTAAAAAGGCAGAAATAACTCTGTGTTGCTACACTTTCAATGTGTTCAATAATTATGAGCTCTTTAAAAGTTTCTAATTGAAACGTTGTATCGCTAACTGACATATTAGCATCTAGCCAGGAGCAAATACGTCAAGATGACAGGGCGCACAGTCAGGTCAGTTTTCCACAACTAGAACAAGATGATCAGATTAAGTGTTTACATGCACGCCGTTCAGATTATCAATCAGCATAAACCACCCCTCTCGTTCAGATTATAAATTAATTCTGATYGAGCTGAATCAGACCAAAGTATTCCGACTGGGGCGTTTACATGGCACRTTTTGATTCTGATTGGCTGTTTATTCTGATKACTTATGTCYCTGTAAACATRGCTAYTCTTATAACAATGAAGAAACKTAAGGARGTTAATTGTGTGATGTGGAATGAGTTTGGTGAACTACAGGTTATTCCCTGGTATGTTCTGTGTGTTATTGTGTCATTTCAGATTAAGCGTCTGTTCTTTGTGAATTAAATTCCTAAGTAAATGCGACTTATAGTCCAGTGCGATTTATAAGCCTCATTCACAWGTCAGCTCAGTCCGGGACTGATGCGTTCTGCTCTTCTCAGATCAGTCAGAAAAAACACMGAGTCAGCAAGTGGRTTAGAAGAGAGGCTGCAGAGCCGAGCAGGCTGACTTGTGAAAAAGAAAGCTGCGRTGYTGYGGCTCAAAAACTGATGAGCAGATGRCATTAGTAAACCACGGGATCGCTAAAGTAAGTGAGGACTAGGGCTGCCACGATTAATCGACGACTAATCGATTATTAAAATAATCGATGACTAATTTAATAATCGATTAATCGTTTTCTTTTTTTGTTGTTCTTTACTTTGTTTTTCTCTCCAAACTGCTTTGACACCTTCCACTGCCACGTCTGCCTTTCTGTCCTTGACACACATGCACAGCAGTGGTAACTGGGGTAGGCCGTGGACGTCACAAGACATTATACAGACAGGCTCTGGTATCATGGCTACCTGACAACGGAGCTCAAAAATGTGGGATCATTTTAAGAAAATGAAAGAGAAACCTGTGCAACATCTGCAGAGCAGAACTTRCCTTCCACAGCAATTATTTTTAGTTAGCATATAGCTAAAATCTAACCATGGTTATATAATAGCAGCTGCTGACGTGATAAGCTGTATGTTTTATATTCAACGTATGATCCGATTAATCGACTAATCGAATAAATAATTGGTGATTAATCGATTATTAAAATAATCATTTGTGGCAGCCTTAGTGAGGACAATTTGTCCCACAGTTACTATCAAAGTGAGGTCTTTGATATAAAGTGAGGACCTCTTCAATGTCCTCACTTTGTTTGCAGCTCTGCTGTGCTTTAGGTTTAGAGGTATGATGTGAATTGAGTTTTAGTTCACTGCACTAAAATAACTGTTTTTGTCACTTTTACAATGGATTGCATCAACTCTGTTACATTACAGAAGGAAGCCTCACTGACGTGAAATGTAAATCTGACGATCTGTGTTTGATTACTCTGGCTGGCTTTCTCAAGGACCCGGATGTGTGACACAAAAATCTGAATTATGGAATTGAAAGTGAATTATGGAACTGAAAGTGAAAGTAGACAAACTGAATTTTTAATAGAGCAAAATACAGTTTCAAAACAAATTAATTCAAATTCAAAACTTTAAATTAAGTTTCAAATCATTAAATTCAGTTTCAAATTCAGATATTCCAATTCAACTCCTGMTGGCACAAGATTTATCCCATATTTAGGACCAAGGTGTGAATAGAGGTTAGTTTTAGGGTAAATGGTCAGGGTCAGGCTATAAAATTACCAGAAAATGAATGGAAGTCAATCCACRGYCCCCACGGGGATACAAAAACAAAACTGTGTGTGTGTATGTGTGCTCACCTTGCAGAATAACACCCGGCATTACACTGGCCAAGTTTAAGTAAGGGTTGGAGGGGAGTCTGACTTCTTTAGGAGGCTCGCCCAATAAAGAACTCTGACCGTTGTTTACCTGAGGAGAGAAAAGGCTTTTTTATTTGCGTGATTTACAATAAAATCTTTAGGAACCAGGCTACGAAGAAGAGTCGACTAGATCACTTTGCTTCTTTTCTGTCCTCACCTCTAAAATGATTTAAAAAGAGATTTTACGGGCTGCTGAAGAGCTAAAGAGCCCGAGGAACCTGCGAAGATTGTTCTGTTAATTACATTTTCTCTCCAATAAAAGATTTTTTACAGAAGACGGCACTGGGACAAGATTTAGTTCCCAAAAGGAACGTCGACGCCGTGATTATCTTTTACRCCGACTTGTAACAAATGATGATGTTTGAGGATTGTAGCAGAGCTGTTCTTAATCGAGGCCACGTCCTAGAGAAAGTAAACAACTGAATGTGAACGTTGCTGTCTGAACAGGAGAAAGTGCTGAAAAGACAGACAGGAAGTCAGAAGATACGGCTGTGAGAGAAATGCATTATGGAAATCTATTACAGGAGTCTTCAGGAGACTGGCGGGTGCTCCGTGGGATTTCACAGGGATCAATAAGGCTAAAGTGAAAACAAAAAAGCCTGTTCAGATTCCACCGAACTTTCAGACTGATGGATTAGTTAGAACTTTTAGTTTGTCAAAACTAAAATAAGCATRAAAATATTGTGATGCTGCAAACAGAGCTGCACAAAGTGGGTCACTTTTTACATGCACACTGATTCCCAAGTGTTTTAAATCAAAGATTTAGTAGTTTACCTAATTGTTTAAGGGAGGGGCGTATTATGCAAAACAGCATTTTTGAGCTTCATRTCATGTTATGATGTCATGTCCTCATCAAAAACATACCCAGAGTGTTTCTTTGACTCGTTCATGCATGTTTGAGAAATCCTTAAATCTCCTGTRGCCATGTGGAGCTACCTGAACACCTGCTGGTACAAAGCCCCGCCTTTTTACCAAAAGCTCCTCCCTGAGAGGAGCACCTCCTCCTCCCACAGAGCACCCCTCCCACACAGCTCCACCAGCCTATTGGCAGGATAAATATAAAAAATGGTGGAGGTTCGTGGTTTTGTTGCAAAAACACAGCTTCCTGATGATCTGTATTAATAGTTTCTTTAAAAAAAAGTATCTTATCATTGACATACTGCACATATATGAGAGGATGACTGGGAGAGATATTACCAAGCTGAACCATCTTGTAAGAGCCTCTGTGCTCGCTCCGGTTCTTCAGAAAATCTACTTTTGATGTGGGGTCATTAAAGTAAGTTTCAACTGTGTCCTGAGTTGGCATTTTCCAAAATTGATGATATATAACAGGGCTATTTAAGTAAATTAAGCCAGGCACACACCGGATGGGTTTTGAGCAGCCAAAGCAGCCAGTTTACATGCAAAGTCTATGGTGGACGCGCATCTAGGAGCAGCGCAGCATGTTGCGGCGCGTTTTGCCAGTTTAGCGCGGCGCGCAAGGCAGCGGTGGGATGCGGCAGAGGGTTTTCTGTGCGTGCGGCGCGTCCAAAGTAGCCGCTGCTCGAGTTAAAAAAAATTGAACTTTCGCTGCTCGATGCACTGCGGCAACCAATCAGAGAGATTAATTTTTCCATGTGACGATTTCCTGAACCCGACACAGACGGACAGGAGCTCTTTAGATAAAATCGACAGTCTGCAGTTGGTGTTCTGGCTGGATATCAGCACCGATGCGGGTCAGCAGCTCGTTAAACTGACCGCGGTGTTAAACTGGGCTCGGGACAAAAAAAGTTTGTCAGCTCTTGTGCTGTACCAAATGATTATTTTCTAATCGATTAATCTAATGATTATTTTTCGATTAATCGATTATTCTAACAACAAATCTATAAG